TCCGCCGAGAAGGCTGATGAGATGACCTCGACCAATAAGGATTTAGAAACCCTTCTTGACCGAGACTTGGATAGGTAATCAACCATTCTCGCCGCAGTGCTGTTGATGCCAACGGAAGATACTGCGAGACCGATTAACTCTACGGTGACAGAGCTATCTATGCCGACTTAAGATATCACCGGTTGCTTCCACAGTGCTGTTGATGCCAATGGAAGATGTGTCAGCGAAAAAAGGAAAAAGAAAAATCACAAAGTTGTGAGAATTTGCGCAGGGCAATTTTGTATTGATTTGCAGGGGTCTCTTCCGTTGCTGAATGTCTTGTATTTATAGTAGCAGAACACCGAGCCCGAGTTCCAATTCTATTCGAACTAGGTTTCCTTCTCCGGATTAACATTACCTCGATCAGTCCTATCTCCGCTAGGACTACGAATCTAGTCCTTAACTGAGCCGGATTCACTTTCTAGTTTATTGATCTCGTCGAGAGTCCCTATTGTACTAGGACTCGACTTGCATTCTGATTTAACCGACCTAGGCTTGGAAGCCCATGAGCTGAACGCTCCATGACCCTTTCGCCGTACGGCTTCCCGGGCCGAGAGTGATTCTTCCCTCGGCCCAAACTGCTATTTTGGGCCCAAACAACAAGGAAGGAAGAAAGAAAGGCGTTGAAATATAGACATCTTCCTCCCAAATGCCACGTTACATGTTTTCAACAAACAAATCATTTGAGAAGAGAAAAGCAACCAGAAGAAAAAGAGAAGAAAAGATCCTCTCTCTCTCTCTCTTCTTAATATCTTTCCTTGAGCTATATATGGTTTCTTCGGGTGGAAAACGATGTTTAATTAATATCCATACATACATACATACATATACATATACATATATGAATGAAAGATTAATTTTAACTATAATTAAAAAATAAATACATATAAAAAGTTTCGGTTCGGTTCGGGCTTATTGATAGGGATTTTGCTACACACGTGAACGGGCTAAAACCTCCTATAATACTTGCAACCAGAAGAAAAAGAGAAGAAAAGATCCTCTCTCTCTCTTCTTAATATCTTTCCTTGAGCTATATATGGTTTCTTCGGGTGGAAAACGATGTTTAATTAATATACATACATACATACATACATATACATATACATATATGAATGAAAGATTAATTTTAACTATAATTAAAAAATAAATACATATAAAAAGTTTCGGTTCGGTTCGGGCTTATTGATAGGGATTTTGCTACACACGTGAACGGGCTAAAACCTCCTATAATACTTGCAAGAATTACAAGGTTGTTGTAGTATAAACGGGCAAGGTCATTCTCCACAGGGATTATTAAATAATTCGAAACAAATCAAATTCTATTTAATTATTGTAAAGCAGAAATTGAGATGATTGATTTTATAACCTACTTAAATTAAAAAATGAATTTAATTAATAAAAGTAAACTAATCTGCAATATTAAAGCAGAAAGAAAAGGAACTAGTTTTGGAGAAATCAAATTAAGAAAGCACAAGGGTTCCACCATCACCTAGCAATCTTATGAACTTTTACCAATTACTTATGATCTACACATGCCACTTTGAAGGTTAGATTTTCCTAATTCACGTTCTACTTGGAACCTCCAACATAGAACGTATGTTTAATATGCAACCCCTCCGGACGTTCGGATCAAATATGAACATGAAAGACTCATTATGCTTTATGAAAACCCTTTGAAAAACCATGCAACCCTTAAGACGTGGTGTTCATCTTAAGTGAAATTACAATTATTAATTAAAAGAAGCCAACGTCAATTTCAGGGAACCTTCCGACCAAAATTGTATCAAATTACTTTTCTAAAGATCCAAATGGTGATCAGGCATTAAGACAATTAGATAGTTTTAATCCCGGTGATTAATAATTTAAAGTATGCATGCAATCAATCATAAGTAATTAAATAAAAATCAGATATTTATGCTAAGGCTCAAGGCTTCGCCCTAGCAAAAGGAATTAGTTACGCATATTCATAATTAAAATCATAGAAAATATTATTAAGAAATGGATTGAAAACACCTTAAAGTAGAAAATCTCCAAGAACCCTAGCAATTCTCTCTGTCTCCAAAGTTGCATAAAAGAAAGCGTAGAACAAAACTAAGAACGGCAAAGCAATACATTTGCTAAGCCATCCACAAACCCTAAAACATAGGTCTCTTATTCCAATTAGGAAACTAAGAAAAATAATAAAATATCTTAGAAAATAAAACCCTAATTAAACTAGGGGAAACTGCTAGGTACTTGTTCAGCCACGTTTTAGCCTCAGATCTCCTCCAAATCCGGCCCAAGATAGGTTTTTTAAAATATTAGGACATTCCGAACACATCTCCAGAAGGTCACGAAACCATCCGAGGTCATTTTAGGCTCCAAAAATGCAATTTAAGCCCAGAAACTTTATTTTCCAATACCGTGCATCGCTCCTTTATTTTATCGCCAGAAAATAACCGCTTGGTGGAAAAATCCCAAATTTTGATACGATCAAGCTAAGTGACTCACGAACGTCCTCCGACTGGAATTACTCCAAAATTCGTCCATTTGGTCCTGTTTTGCTCCAGAGGAGTCCAAAGTCCTATATTGAAAATACAATTCAAAGCATCAAAATTCTTCCAAAATATTTACCAAAATATACTAAGAATAGGGTAAAATATATAATATAAAATCTAATCATCACTTACCAAACTATTGAACGGGCAATACCTCGTATGAATGGTTAAGTATTGGTTCAAGATGAGGGAGTCAATCTGAGGAGTCTAGGAAGCTCAAAAGCTTGTGCGCTGTTGTAGAATCTACTTGCAAGTCAATCTGATGGAGTGGATAAGGATCCTTGGGACATACTTTGTTCAAGTATGTGAAGTCCACACAGCCTCTCCACTTCCATTCTTTGTTTGCACGAGTACCATGTGTTGTCAACCAGTCTAAGTGGTGAACTTCAACAATAAAGTTGGCACCCTTGAGCTTATCAAATCTTTTTCTCAATGATCTTGCTTCGCTCTATTCTATTATTACGCTTTTGCTGGATAACCGTCGTTGCAGTTGGGTTCAGATGGAGAGGCTGATTCCTGGCATATCATATGTGAACCAGATAAACACCTCTTTGTTGGCCCACAAAAAGGTAGTAAACAATTCATTCTCTCAATCAGACATCTTCGATTTAATTATGGCTTTGCTTTCTGGTTTTGAGGCTCGAGGTTGATGTAAACTCTTTATCTGCCTCAGACTCCAAAGTGTCGTCGTCTTGGGTGTCAAGATCTAGGTTGAATTCCTTGTAGCTTGTCTGTTGAACCCCAAACTGTGATTGCTATGCCAACTCATCCATAAGAGCAGTAGAGCTCCGTTCTCCCTTGCTGAACATATTCATGCTCTCTTTTACTTTGCCTAGTGTGGGGTAACAGAGTAATCGGTAATAAGATGAAGGGATTGTCCTCATCTTTTGAAGCCAATTCCGGCCAAGTATGGTGTTGTGAGGAGTTGGGCAATCCATGACATGAAGGGCCACCATATAGTTATACATTTTTGCTTGAACTGCGAGTTTTACTATTCCAAATGACCAGATGCTAGTACAATTGAAGGTATGAAGAGTGGCCTTACTTTATTAATGTTGTCCAGGATCCCTATCCTCTTGGTTGCGTCCTTGAAGAAGATGTTGACCCCATATACATTGTCCAACAGAACATGACTAAATAAGACATTGGAAATCTGTACCTGAATGACCAAGGCATCGTTGTAGGGCGAGTGGACATCTTCCAAATTCCAATTAGAGAACATCAGATGTTAGAGTCGATTAGAATGGGCTTATTAATGGAAACCACCATCCTAGGCTTCTTGCATGCTGCCTTCCTCTCATTCTTGATCTTACCAGGTACTCTTAATCTCTGTAGATATAGTTGACATTGAGAACTGGTCTTTACATCAAGCCTTGACTTCCATAAGATCATTGGGAGTGGGGCTTCGGACTTCACCCACTACTCCAGAATGGGTTGATGGTTACATAGATGCTCTGTCTGTGCAGCCCTATTATGAAAGCTAAAGTCCATGACCGGACTTTTGATGTTTTCGTATTTCGATCCACCTTACCCGGCCTTGAAAAATCATGGTCCCACAACAACAAAAAACAAAATGGTTAACAAATGGAACATTTCTCTCACAAAGAGAAGGCTCTACTTTGGGATACTGTTTGTCCTGGAGGCTAAATGTTGTTTCATGTGGTATAAGGCTCATGGAAGGGAAATTCATCTTCTATCAATGTATGGTAGGATACCTCCTAATTTTTTTTTTAATCTAGAAAATGATGATATTGTAATTTTCATCCCAATTTATCTATATACATCGCGCCCATAACATGAGTAGAAGTTACTAGTACGTTTTTATTTCAAGTATTATATTTATATCTAAAAAAAAAGGACAGTAAATAATGTTTTTACATCTTTTTAGTAGGTAAGTTATCTCAGCTTACAACTAAATTACGTAATTCATTTCATTTCTTACTTGTTTTGACAATGACTGTTGATGCTTTCTAAAAAGTTGAAACAGATTCCCAAGTTTAAATCACCCATGCCATTGTTATAAAAAATAAATAAATAAAAGAGAGAGAGACTGAAATGCATGTAAATCTAAATCAAATAGACCACCTTGGAAATGCTATCGACGTCTTTTTTGTGGCCATATGGAAGGTAAAAGTCCTTGTACATATGTTTGATTTGAGTCGAATTTTTTTACTTGTTTGCCATGTGCTTTCTACAATGAAGACAATATAACTTTTAAAACAAGTTGGACGAAAATGCCCCCAGTCGCGCCAATCGTGCAATCGCTTCGTTTGCTTTCCTCTTGAATAGAAGAATCTTGGGATTTTGAGAGATCAAAAAAAGGTATTTAAACACTATTTTGTATTCATGATCTCTTGTTATTTCCATGCTTAACATTGTTTATTAATGGGGTTTGAATGTGCATGTGGTTAAATATTGTAGTAAATGAAATGTTGGGCTTCTACCTATGCATCTCGGATTTTTAAAACTCTCTTTGTTTCAAATGACCGTCTCCTTTACATGGACTACAAAGCATTGAATGATAATGATGCTTATGTTCCGAAAAGAAAGCTTGCTTGTCCCTCTGTAACGACCTCGGAAATATTTGTTAATCTTCTGGGTTCTTGCAATCGCTTGGTATGTCTAGCAATTGAAGACAGCGACGATTACGCCAACATTATCTTATGGAACCCCTCTACCGGAGATACCACTGTCTTACCAAAACCTCCGTTTAACAAACGATTTTACGAGTTGGGATCCGACGACAAGCTGTTTTATGGATTGGGATATGATTCCTACAATGAAGACTACAAGGTAATATTGGGCAGTCGAGATACAACCGAAACAAATCCTTTCCAAACTGCGATAAACGTCTTCACAGTGAAAACAAATTCATGGACAACTTGTCAAGAAGAAGAAATCAATTTCCTTAAAGGGTAGGGGTGTGCAGGCTTGCTTCTTAAATGGAGCTCTTCATTGGGTACAACCTGAGATGATGAGTTCTATCATTTCTTTTGATTTAGCAGATGAAAAACTAGCTCAGACACTGCCATTGCCGGATTCCAACAACGGAGAAGTCTTCGTGGGAGTTGGTACTACCGGAAATTGTCTCTTCACATTTACTATCCCGATCGATAGCATTGGTTTTCAATATGGATTATGAAGGAATCTTGGACTCAAGTGGCAAAAATTTCTTCAAGGGAATTGGCCAAAGAAGTTTCAATGCATCTCCCAAAAAATCAGATTGGATTTGACACAATCTTAATGCATCTCTACACATCAGGAAACCAAATTGAATCTAGAGAGTGGGTGTTGACCGTTGACCGAATAAGGGGCCAAGCATATGGTGTTTACAAGCATAGAAACTAATTATCAACATGACTGCTTGGAAAATCCGTGTATTCCGATTGTTAGAAAGTAGAACACAGACAACTGTAAAATAAAAATGAAAATGACGATATAACTTAAAGATTAAAAGATCAGATTTTAGCATATCCTCAAAATTGTTTTGATAGAAGCAATCATAAAATGGATTCAGTATGAGTTAACAGACCATCACAAAGCATCAAATTTCAGGTTGAGATCGGTATTTTGTTTTTCTAAGTGGCCACTTAACGTAAACAAAAATTTAGCACGAGAAATGGATACATGAAGCATAGGTACACAAACAGAACCTCATGTCAGACTGATTGTGAATTGCCTAACTATTTATAGTTAGTAATCTATAACCACGCACTAAAAGTGTGTTACAACGTATGTATCAATACTACACTGCTAAATGCGGCTATATCAGAATACACTAACATGCCAATGAACACTAGCCAGTGATGACTATGAACTAATTGCAATTTGGTGCATGAACTCATTCCAATCAATAACAGGCAGTTCATGTCAAGTTTCAGAATTATATAAGGTGAATCTTATAAATCAAGGGAGACTGGAGAGCGCTTTCTTGTGAACCTGGATCAGGGCTTCGCCACGACTCTGGTACTCAAAGAGTGAGTGTTTCCGCATCCTCGACATTTCTGGACATTCCATGGTCTAACCTTCCATCATCTTGCTCATCAAATGGATTTCCCCTATAATCAGAACTTGCTTCTTCATTCTCTGAACAGCCAGGTCTTTCAGTTAGGAACTGTTCCCAGAAGACATCGTTTACTCTAACTGGAACCAGTGGGGGCGCTTGATTGTTATGTGTGGCTTCTTGGGAGGAAGTTTTGAGTTTGTCGTTGTCAGCTATATTTTTGTTTGTAAAGGCTCTTAAATCCGAATCTTTTCCATTTTCATTTAGCTCTGATGCTGCAGATTCGTTGATATCCTGACCTACTTGGGGTACTGTAGCTAAACAAGGACTATTATTAACTTGCAACGGAGTAGATGCTAAAGTGAGATTTAAGTGGCAGGATATATGGCCATCACCTTCTTCATTAGAAGGCAAACCTGGCTGCAAGGAATGACGTCTAGGGCTTCCAACAGTTGGTGCTTTCCGCGATAACAACGAATCCATTTTGAATGCAAAAGATGTTCCAGTATCTGAAAGTTCTAAGGTTTCAGGTGCAAATAAAACGCCTTCTGGTCTCATCTGTGCACCTTTAAGTTCTTCAGATATTTTCCTAGTTGAACTACCCCCATCTTCATTGGAACTCTGCGTGCTACGTGATACCAAATTCATGTCTGAAACAGCTGGTGATAATTCAAGTCTAAGTTTACTTGAGAAGTCTTGGTGGAAAATATTTCCAAACTCAGATCTAGAACTACTTCGGTTATCCACAAAACCATTCTCCACGACTGGCTGTAGATGGTCAATGTCAGGCAATCGCCTTTTCTTATGATATGCTGAGAAATCCATAGATTCAATTTTTCTAGTGAGATGTTCAACAAAATTAGGGTTGTGAACAGCCCTATCTAAGAATGTCACCAAATTCTTCTGCCGTTGTTCCATACCATTCACCCGTTGTGTTAAGTCTTCCAACTGAAGCTTTGCCGCAGATCGCTGCTGCTTGAACCTTGAAATATTTGCCTCGAGTGCAGCTTTATCATGTGAAAGCTTCTCTATTTCGTCATCAAGAGCTGCTCTTTCTGAATCAACCATAGAACCTTGAGGATTGCTGTGGCTGTGAATGGGTTTTCTGCGGTGGATATTCTTAAGAAGATGCTTTTGATCTTGTATGAAGTCTTCATTAGCAAATTCCCATCTCTCAGGATCAATCTTTCGAAATCCCTGTGACAAATTCATGTCCAAACATACTAAGTTGAATATATCGATAGTCACTTCCAACAATATAAAAATGATGATCACCTAGAGATGATACAGAATTATTGTGCAATGCATCTGAAAGAGGGTGAGTGCCAGAAATACTGAAAGTTGGTTCATGAGAGAGACAATGAGTTGCTCACTACAAGCCAGGAAAATTATCAAGAAAATTAATGCATTGGAAAATACAACCAAGGACCGATCTATAGTTAAATTAAACATATATATCAGAGAAATTTGGAATATACAATGCAATATAGCAACTTCAAGGAATACGATGAACTAGAATAGGTTGATGAAAGGAGAAAAAAGAGATGGAATCTGCTTAATGTGATACATTCTAGGAGGTTACCATCTGGTATTGCATTAGAGCTCATTTTTTGCCGTTTGATGAAAATATGACTTTAGCGTGGAAAAAAGGAAATGTACTGCATATGTGAAAATTGTGAAACTTTTCATCCGTCAATTCTGTCCCTGCATATAAAATTGTGTCTAACAAAACTCCTCTACAAAATTGTTTGACTCAGACTCTAAGGACATAACATAACCATCAAAACATATCTGACTCCTCATCCAATGTCGCATGTTGAGCCCAAACGGTAAAAAACTAATATTGTAAAGATATCAACTTTCTGCCTTCTGCTTGCTGCATCACTTAAAAGCAAGTATTGATATAACCATAAGAATGTGCAGAGACTTGAATGAAACTATAAAGTAACAATTTTGCACTGCATTGCATTTTATTTCAATTAGATGGAACTTGTTTTAAGTTATCAAAAGTTGACTTCTCCTCCTTATTTCCGATTGTAATGATTTATGATAATAAATGCTGAATACGAAAAAACCAACATGTTTCTAATATCCAAATTACAATCATTTGAAGAAAATATGTGACTAACAAACAGTTTAAAAGGCAGTGCTAGTAGCAGATAAGGAGGATCATCTTATATTCAAGTTTGATAGTTAATGGTGTATAGGTTAAGTTCATAATTTGGCTAGTTTGGAAGTTTCAAATTTGTTCAAGCACCTTGGTTAGGCATTCGACAGTAAAAAAACCTGGTCAACTACATAAAAATTGAGCATCAGCGGTCATACATTTGGAAAATACCATTCATTTAACTTTATGTGCATACATTTATGTTGAATTTATTTTTTCACAATGAAACAATCAACCTAAAGCAAGTCGGTTCATATGTCTTGATACAGAACCACTTGGCACTTGCATATGAAAAATGGTGCGCTGCATTCTGTTTTCAGTCCAACGATTAGCACACATTTCACCAGCAACACAATTACAAAAAATAAGTACATAACTTTACAACACAAATGTTTGATGAGCAAGACTTTCTATACATATCACAACAAGAACGAACTACTCACCAAAAACAGTGCATCCTAATTTTTTGCATTTTCTTTGATTACCTCCTACTTAAATTAGGGCATTTTCAAGGCATCAAAACACTATCTTTCAAACTCCCCTTTCCTGCCTCAAATCAAGGTCAATTAAATTAAAATAGGGTCTGATTCCAGGTAAAAAACTTCATTGACAGTAGCCCGATAGCTCAATAGTATCAGTTAGCACCATCCACCATACATAATCCTTGATGTGCTTTAATCTAGCTTATAAGTTGAACCTTCTAGAACTCTAACCTAGTTGCATTGTGGTCTTCAACTTATCCTTACGAAACCAAGCTGCAAGGGAAGGACACCAAAGAAGTCATAGACTCATATGTGGTCCTTGACTATTCTATTGTTCAATATGGCACATTTAAGATACCATTGCCAAGGCACGGTCTTCCCGTAACCTCTTGTTGTTTGAAAACCTCAATAGGTAGCTGAAGCATATTTAATAAATCCAAATCTCATTTGTATCACTAAAAATGTACTAAAGGTTTCATGGTCCAGACTGCAAGACAATGTATTCTTCTAAAAGCGGAACAAAAAAGGGAAAGAGGTACGGAGAATTTTGAAAATAGTTTCATTAATCAACACCTTAGAAATATACATTGAGCTTTTTGAATGCGCTCCCACGTAATCGTCACCGCAGAACTAACATCTCCCTCTTTTTCCTTAATTTTTTATGACGAAGAAATTGTATTGGAATTTGGAACCAACAAAAAATACAAATTACATTCACAATCAAGCTACAACTAAATAAAAACCATTGTAGCTTCTGCAAAATTAGAAGGAAGACAGTCTCCCTGAAATCGAAGCAACCGAAAAGCCCTGCAATTTCCTAAAAAATGCTAATACTTGTAAACAGGAAAGTGCAAACTAGCAACAATCCAAACAAAGAAGAGAGTAAATTTCCAATCACCCAAACACAGAATTACCAAAACACGAAAATTCTCCGGGATGCATCCAAACAGAACCAATCCAAATTGGGACAAAAATGTACAATGCTTTCAATTTTTTCAAGAATTTAACAATTAACCTAAATCAAAATATTAAGAGGCAAAGAGCTTACGTATGTATTGAGCTGACGAATGAAGCTGGAGAAGTTGTTGTGCTTGAAATAGGTGGGGAGCAGAACCCGAGCAAACTCGGGCGGGTTCCAGACGATGAAGCTTTTCTTATTCGAGCTCCACGACACGATCTCGTCGGTCGCGGAATCGTCCACCATGTCGTACGTCTTCAGCAGAAACGGCGCCGGGCCACCGCCTCCGCCGGCCGTCGAAGGCCCTTC